GGTCTCAAGGAAGATTTTGACTAGTCTGCGCCTCCACCAAAGAAATTTAAGAAGGTCAAGGTTCCTTCTTTGGTGTCCGGCTCATATTATACATCACGCGATACCGACGAGTACGAAGACTTGGACGACACTGCGGCAGGCCCTTCCACGACAAACGACCCCAACAACGCTGGCGCTCCTTCATCAACTTGATATTCTTCACGGGCGTTACTCCTCATATTCGATCCTTTTGGTCATTTGATAACAAAGGGGGAGAATTTTGAGTTAGTCTTCAAGCGGATCTTTCTATATGGGCCTTTTTTTGTTAAGTTACAACTCTCATTCTTCTGAGACTTTATTGGATTGAGTTGTAAACTTAAACCCGATGGTGCTCTGATACTTTTGATATATTTTTCTGCATGCTTATTCCTCATATATGCTAATGCACGCATGCTGAATTACATCAGTCACCATATTTCATCATGCATTTCAAATTCTTCATTGTGATATGTCAAATGCGTGTATGAATTACAAGATATAGGGGGAGATCTCCATGATTCTACTCTTCAAGTGTGCAATGCTTCAAAAGCAAATACCTCACCATGCACATATTCAGGGGGAGTTCTTCTATATCTTGCAATCAAATTCCTCAATATCAGTATTTACACTTCATATGTTTATCCTCGTTGAAAACTTAACCTATATTGTCATCAATCACCAAAAGGGGGAGGTTGTAAGTACATCTAGTGCCCCTTAGTGATTTTGGTGTATTGAAGACTTATAGGTTAAGGGACTAATGCGTTTGTGAGTGTACACAGGTCTATAAGTCTATGAGGAGTTTGATATTTACAGAGAAAGTCGACCCCTAAAAATGAAGTTCCTCGACTGAAGACTTTGAATTTCTGAAGACTTTCTGAAGACTTTGAAAGTGAAGAAATTGGTGTGACCTTGAAGACTTGGTATTCGTTCGAGAAACATGAAGCGTGAAGACTTTTGTTTTCGTAGTTTCATTTTCTCTTTCTTGAGTCATAGGAAACACCGTACTGTTAAAGGGGGTCGAGGAAATACTAAGAAAAAATTTCCATGTGATGCTCAACTCAAATCCTACACCTACCAATCCCTTCGAGTGAAGCCATTGGAAATCTCATACAATTCAGTCATATTCTTCAGTGACAGAGACGAAGTTCTTCTGGTCTCTGAGGAATTTGTTCTGACTGAGGAGTTAGGAATTCGCTAGTGCGGATTGCCTACACAGTGAGGAACATGATAGCCCTGAGGATTTCGCCACTCAAAATTCCGACCGTTGCTGTGCTATGCGCCAGCTGTCCCAAAATATCTATCCACATAACGCTCTTATCATTGAAGGGCATTTATGTCTTATCATGCCGGGCTGCTCCCTAGGCTATAAATAGTCGACCTCTACAACCACTAGCTGGTTGGCTGCTCCAAGAGAAACTGAAATTTGTCATTTGAGAGCAATCCATCCTCCGAGGACTTTGAGAGAAAATCATCAAGTGATGAAAACCCAAACCCAAACACCTACAAACCCCAAGTGATTGAGCATCACTGAAGAGATTGATCCTGCGTGGATCCGATGCTTGTTACCTTTAAAGACTGTGCATCTTCCAGACGGTTAGGCGTCATGGTCTAGAGCATCCAAGAGAAATTGTGGATCGCCGAGTGACTAAGTTTGTGAAGGTTTGGAAGTCACCTGAAGACTTACCACGAGTGATTGGGCGAGGTCTGTGTGACCTTAGCTCAAGGGGAATACGGTGAGAACTGAGTGTCCTGAGCTGCGTGTTCAGGACTGGGTGTCCGGGATTGTATGTCCTCGGGTTTAAATACCTAGCCGCCCTAACCAGACGTACAACTGAGACGGTAGTTGGAACTGGTCTACCAAATTATTGTCTTCACCAAGCTTACTGGTTCTATTTCCTCAACTCTTTCATTTTCTCATAACTGTGTTGTGTGATTGTTTATATCTGTGCTTGAAGACTTTGACTGAAGATTTTCTTAATTTTCTCAGTTCAATTTCTTCTGTCTATTTGTCTTCATCTTGTATTATCCTGTGCTTACGCTTTTCGTACTCTATGTCTGTCTTCATTTCATCATGATAATTATGCTTGTATTATGTTATTTTTACTTTTGAGTACTTATTTCGCTGCTAGTAGTTCTTCGCTAAGGAATTTTGTTACCTGCAAATTTCTCAGTGAAGAATTCATAAAAATCGCCTATTCACCCCTCTTCCCCTCTAGTCGATATAACGCACTTTCAATTCCAATGAGGGACTACATACGAAGCAAGATGAGTGAATGTACACTCTAAAATATCTCTATATACGTCCGTATGTAGTTTGTTTTGAAATGTCTAAAAAGATTTATATTTAGAAACGGAGGGAGTAGATGAGTGAGAGATGTAGAGTGTTGAATACTAGAGGATGTAATTAGCTATGTGATGTAGCACGCTCGTTGATTATATGAAGCTAGCTGCTAGGTCTAGGACTAGAAGTGAGCGAGTGCGTGTACATTTGTTTATGAGAATAACGGTGCACGTGTGAATGTGTTGAAAAAAATAATGGAAATGTTTACCTCCGGAGCGCCGGCCGAACCGTTGCGCCGGAAGTGTGCCTTGCGATCGCTCTCGATCGTACTTCCCGCGGGCCATGGGAGCACTCTTCCTCCGAATCATTTTTTTCATTATCCTCTTCTCCCCCACGACATAGCTAGAGCAACCGCTCCTTTCCCTTCATCTCCGGCGTTGTGCGCACAACCAGCCATGGCGCCTTTTGCTGCTACGGCGAGCCACGGTGGGGGCAAAGAAGACGACGAGGATGGAGAAGTTGCGAGGCGGGGGAACTGCAAGAGGGCCACGTGCGGCGCTGGTGCTCGTCAATGGCGCACGACCAACCATGGCATGTGACAGTAGGGTGATGCTGGAACCGTTCATAAGAAAGCTTCCACTATTCGATTCGAAAGCTTCAACCCGTGGCATAAAAAGCTTCAACCGAGACACCGCAAATTGAAAAGCTACAATCGTTCATAAGAAAGCTGCAATCGTTCATAAGAAAGCTACAATCGTTCTGGAAAAAGATTTCGACCAGAAGACTGATTTTTGGAGGTGAGGCATTTGCGCAAACCCGAAAGCTGCAACCGGCTACGAGAAAAGCTTCAACCGACGGTGAAAAAAGTTTCAACCATAGACGACGGAAGCCATGGACGACGAGTAAAGCTACTACCGGCGATACCGAGGATCGTGACTATGTTTTTCTTGCTGCAAGCATTGTCAATTTTTGCTACTACCGGCGAAGCCCCGAGCTGGACCAGAAGCTGTTTTTGAGCGTTTCTGCAATCTTTGTTGCATCCGGCTTTCAATTTTTGCTACGACCAGAATTGATTTTTGTCGGAATCGGCGGGTGTATCTTTGCTTGGAATGTGCAAATGTGATGTTTTTTCCGGTTGAGGTTTTTGCTACAACCATGTTTTTGTTTTGCTGGAACCGGAGACAAATTTTGCTACATCCATGTCTTTTTATTTTGATGGAACCAGTGTACTACTTTTTGCTACCACCGTTTCGAGTTTTGCTACTATCAGCATGGTCAATTGATACATCCTTTTTTCACGACGCGCTGAGTTTTGCTTCTTGCTGGAACCAACTTCAAGCCAGCATGGAAGAATAAGCTTTCATCCTGGGGAGAAAAAGCTTCAACCGGCTGTGGAAAAGCTTCGACTTGAGGAAAAGCTTCAAGTGCCACGAGAAAAAAGTTTCCACCGCAGGAAAAAGGTTTTAATGCTGAAAAAAGCTTCAACCGATGATTTAATTTGCTGGAACCCAGTGTTTTTTTTTTGCTGGAACCAATTTCTTCTGAGGCGAGGCATGTTTTTTGTTTTTTTTTTTGCTGCATTTGTGTTTTTTGCTTGAACCATCAACTGATTTTGCTACAACTACCTTTTCATTTTGCTGGAACCGCGAAGCGGAGCTGGAACCAGATTTACCAATTGATTTTTGCTGCAACCATCAAATCTGCGAGCGGCTCCATGATGAGCCGGCGAGCGGCCCGGCGAGCGACACCAACAAGCCGGCGAGCGGTGGCCACAGAGCTTCAAGGGGAAGGCCATGGGAGGGGGACGGGGAAGCAGGAGGGTGGCGAACTGTTACAGGAAGGAGACGCGAGGTGGGGGTGGGGGCGAGGGGGTGAAATCCTATGGTCTGGGACCCGCGCATCGTGCGGCTGGGGCTAGTCCGGCCCAACCGTTCGGCCGGACTACCGGCGCCTATCACTGCCCAAAGAATAAACACGTAATTGGGCCGCCCCGCTAGCCGCCCCGCTAGCCACAACCGCTCGCCTCTGTCTCCAGTGTCAGTAAGCCATGTACGAGAATTGGATCGAAGGAAAAAAACAAACAAACAAATAAGAGAACGACGTGGTGGGCTAGTCCAGCGCTGACCTTTTGCGGATGTCGTCATATTAGATGTGAGGTATTATAGAGAGATCAAACCATGCAGCAATTGTACATGAAATCATAGAGATCGAATGCTTTTATTGCTTGTAATTTTGTCCATGAGTTTAGGAGCTCGGATTTTAAGGCTCACAATCTCGCTAGGCATGCACTTTCGCTCGGGTTAAGCCGCCGTGTCTGGTTAGGCCTCCCCGGAGATTTGAATTTTATACCTGTAAATGTTTAAGACAATGTAAATAAAGCCTGGCGAGAAAGTCTTAAAAAAGATATGAGATATTAACTTACATCTAGATATGACATAATCAGACCCTTTATTAAAATGGAGCAAGCCAAAGCCATGACAGTTTACAGCGTTGAGGACATGCCAGAGTAGCTAAGCCAGAAATTTCTAAAAAAAACCCTGAAACTGGCCACGCAGGGCTAAGGGAACAAAAAGGCAACGTTCTCAAAGGATCAAGCCAAACTAACATTTGGAAACTAGACTTTGTTGACAGCAGAGGATAATCCGCAGGATCATTGCTTAATCTCGTAGTAGATAGCAAAGCTTGGCCTTGGCTAGTTTCTTCACCTCAGGCCGTTGACGGCAGCACGCAGTTGCCGATCTCTGTAAAGAGTGGAACAAATCACCATTAACAAACCAAAACGTTCATTTCCTTTTCTTGAAACAAGAATCACAAATTCAGAAGCCAACTTACTTGGTGCCTGCTGGACAATAATACCGGCGCCGGCGAAGTCGCACGTTCCGGTGGCCCTGCCACGCAGCTGGTAATAGCTGTTGAACGCGAAGGACGCATGCGCGACCTTGGTGTCGGGGTCGAAGCACCGTGCTCCGGGCTGAATGTCTGTGCAGTTCGCGGCACCGGGGCCGCAGGCGTAGTCTAGGGCCGCCTGCAGCCGCGTGTCGCCCACCGCCGCGTTCGCCACGCACCAGCTCGGGCTCGGGTCGCACGCACCTGATGGTGCCTGGTTGACAATGGTGCCGGCGCCGCTGAAGTCGCATGCACTTTTAACCCGGCCGTTCTTCTGGTAATAGTCGTTGAAGGCGTAGGACGCGTGCGCGAGCTTGGTGTCGGGCTCGAAGCAGGGCTGGCCTGGCTGGATGGCACTGCAGTCCGCCCTGTTGCCATCCCTGTTGTCGCACGCAAAGTCCAGCGCCGCCTGCAATGCCGCATCTCCAACCGCCGCGTTCGCCACGCAATAGCTTGGCTGTAAGGGCCCGCCGCTGGTGCCGCCATGAACGAAGTCGATCGGGTTCGGGTACACCGGTTGCTGGTTCGGGTAGAACAGCCCGAAGTCCTGGTCATCTTCGGGCTTGTTGTTCTCGTTGAAGAGGGCGAAGATGTACACGTTGAGATCGGCGTTGGGACGGTGCGGGGTGCCGCGGACGGCGCTGGCGGTGAGCGGGCGGTGTCCATTTGCGGCCGCGGTGCCAGAGTTACCCTGCAGCACTTGGTGTGTGAGACCAGCCATGAAATCTTGGGCGTTTTGTGGGGTTCCTACTCCACCGTGGCCTTTGTTTGGGTGTCCTTCCTCCCCATGGTGTACCTCTGGGGTTCCGCCTCCTGCCGTGAGCTTCCTCATCCCCCCAACGTGCATGCTGGAGGACGGGAGCTTCTCCATCGCATAGTAGACTGCGTCCAGCTGGGCGTCAAAGAGGCTGAAGTACGTTTGTCCGCTACCAGTGTCAAGCACGCCATTATTGGGGCGGAACAAGAGGTAGTCAATGGACATGCCTGGGGTAGCCAGGTACGCGAGGTACGGATAGAAGTTCACCATGAGGTACGACCCGGTCTGTTGCAAGAAGTCGACCATGGGGCTCATCACCGACAGCGCGATGTCGTCCCGGAACGTGCCCGCGGACGGCGGGAACGACGGATTGAGCGCGTCGAACGCGATGGGCGTTGTCACCTTGACGGCGTCCGCCATGCCCAGTTTAGCCAACGCCGCCTGCACGTTCTTCATGGCCGGGACGAGCTGAGAGTTTAGTTGGCTAGCCTCTTTGAACACCTCGTTCCCGACCGTCACGCCATTGATGAGCGTGGCCGGGTAGTAGGCCTTCACGTTGCTCTGCACCCACTGGAGCGCGAAATTGTTTTGGTCGGCCGCCGCGAGCGGCAGCTCCTCGTTGGTCAGCTCCACCGTCACCTTGATGCCGGTGTTGGCCAGCGAGCGCAGCACCGTCGGGTCGGTGTCGTAGATCCTCACCATGGTAATGCCGTTTTTCTTGAGCAGTTGCACCACGGACGCCGGGTCCGGCAGGTCAGTGGCCACATTCCCGTAGCACACTCCCACCTCGCCACCCTCTGATGCATGCAGTAGCAACAAACGTCAATCACTATCACGATTCACGAAACTACACCTGCGCCATATATATAGACACACACACATATCTCCGAATGAAACGTCTCCGTGATCACCTGCAGGAGTGAAGAAGAGGATCGGCAATGCAGCGCCGAGAAGGAGGAGAAGGAGGAGACGGCTCATCAGCGCCATGCTCTTCGTAATGTGCGGAGTGGAGTGAGCTGGGGGCTAGAGGGAGGAGACAACGATCGGGCTAGCTGATCGATGAGTTGTGAATGATCCTATCTAGGTGGGCTGGAATTTATAGTCGGCACCAACGCTAACGTGGAGATAGAGTTTTCTTGGACAAAGAACCTGGAGATAGATGTTGCTACGTTCTCTTTGTGCAAGGCAACGATACGACAAGCAAAATTGGGATTGCTAGTGAGGCTGATCGCAGCATGCATTTATGCCGGCCGTGCCTAACTTGGACTTTGACTGGTGGAGTCACGGACGACTTGATATACGTACATACAGTGAAGAGGTATGCGTGCCTGGGCCGGCACACCCACAACCCTTGCCCCTAAATCCAACAGACAAAAGGTCACTAGCTGGTGGCAGTATCCCGGGGCCCTTTCTCTTGTCTCGTACGTCTGATGCTCGCCGGCAGGAGACCCACGGCTGCGTACGATGACTCATGACTCATGACTGTATATGCCTGGATAAAACGCAGAGAACCCCATGCTCCTGCTTCCTGCAGCTGCTTTGTCAACACGTGTGGGAAAGACTAGGGAAGACGCCGGTCAATGCAGCAGCTATCACTACTGCGTAGTACTTGCGGCAGGGTGCTTCATTTTTGATTGACAAGACGTTTTGTCTTGTACAGAAAACGCCGTGTTGCAACCGTCTGTCTGGTGCGAACAGTTGCACAGCATCTCGTCTCATTCATGCAGGAGCAGTTTGTCGTGTATAGAAATCGTCGTTTGCGATCTCCTGTCCCGTGACCCAAGTTGCCCGGTTGCAACCTTGAAGTATGTCGTCTCATTTCCTGCTCCATGCAGTTCTGGTCTATGCTCTTTGTGTAATGGTGAATGCGAGCCGAGCCTCGAGCCTGCCTCGAGCTCCGTGCTCTAGCGAGCACAAAAAACAGAGCTTGACTCGCCTCGCTCCGGCTCGAGTACAACGCGTGAGCCCACGCTTCGGTGGCGATGGCGGCGTGCAGCAGCACCCCCGATGTAGACATGGCCTGAAAGCAGTGGCGTGCAGGTAGCACGTCAACATGCGTGGGCAACCCCGGGCGAAGCTGGAGGAACCCAACCCTGGCGACGAGCTTTATTTTTTAAGGGTGAAACAAACTTTATTCGGCAAAAACCACATAATATGGGATAGTGTTCGGGTCATGGGATTGGCCAAGCCAAACATGACGTCTCACACCTAAAGAAAACAAAATCTAGCTAGACTATGTGCTGCAATGTTAACAACATGACCCTTGAAGGAAAAAGGATTGCTATACATCCGACACTTTATTCACGACACCTAGCAGACGTTTCACATGATCTGTTGATTTCCATCTTGTTTTCAATCTGCATGGTCCATTTCAGTGTCGTGCAAGTATCGTGTAGGGCAGTATCGTGTGCACATCATTTTCGCGAAGGAAAAGATATAATCTGAAAAAGACCCTGGCGACGAGTGCGGAAGTGCTGGGTGGAGGACTTCTGGCATCATGGGAGGGACTGACAGGAGAAGAGACTTGTTTCCGGCCTCTTTTTTTTTTTTTGAGGGAAAGTTTCCGGCCTCTTCGGCTACAGGAGATGGCTCGGCCCATGGCAACAACCAGCCGAAGAAACAAAGTCAGCACGGATTCCTCACCTATCAGGCCAAGGGCAAATCCTATTTGACGCCCGCAGGCGTCAAAAGGACGAGCCTTCGCTGAAGCAAGTCTCCACTTGGGCCGGCCCATGTACAGATTTGTTCGCTGTTGTTTTTTCATTGTTTCTTGTGGGGTTTTTTTCGTTTTTCTTCTATGGTTTTTTGCTTCCAGTTTTTTTCACTGTTTTGTCCGGTTTTCAGTTGTTTTGTTCCGGGTTTTTTATTTTTCTGTTTTGGCTCCTTTTTTGTTTCATTTTCTTTCTTTTACGTTTATTTTTTTGTTTTCTATTTCTGTTCCTCTCATTATTGCGTATTATATAAAAATCCCACCCGTGTGTTACAAAAATCTTCAACGTATTAAGAAAATGTTCAGCGTATATTATGAAATAGTTCACGTTGCAAGATAAAAATGTCCATCATGTATTAAAAAAATGTTAATTGTATATTATTAGATTGTTCAACGTATATTAAAAAATGTTCATTGTGTATTTAAATTTTTTTTCGTCATATATTAAGAAATTGTTCAACATATACTATAATATGTCCATTTTAGTATTTTAAATTTGTTCAGCATTTCTTTTACAAAAAACCACTGTATTTTAAAATTTGTTCAACGTATATTATAAAAGTGTTGAACGTTTAAAAAAAGGATTTGCCACTCTACTTTCTACTTTAAGCTGGGCGCTTTATTTAGAATGTTCGAGGTAGCTAACTCGGCTGGCTAGCCTCACTGAAATCCGGCATGAGGTTGGAGGTTCGTTCCCACGGATGCGGTTCTTCTTTTTTTGAAATTTTGCTTACGGCGTGATGATTGGGCCGGCCCGTGTGCACGTAGCTTCAGCGAAGTCGCAACGATCGGACACACACAGGCGGCCTATAGGAGCTCTCCAGGCCAAGTCGTTCCATGCTCGGGGAAAATATCTAGTGCTCCCAAACTTGGGGTGCTCCCGGTGCTCCAAATGTCCGAAAAACATTTTAAAATGTTTAAAAAATTCTGAAAAAAATGCGGCAGATCGACGGAACATCGATGTCTCTTGTCACAAAATTTTAAATCAAAATTTGAAACATTGCTCGAGATACAAAAATGACTAATTTTTGTACATAACATAAGTTGGGCTTTAGTTTTGGCCCATTACCACATTGATGTTAAATTTGTCATTTTTGTATCTCGAGCAATGTTTTCGAATTTTGATTTGAAATTTCGTGACAAGAGACATCGATGTTCCATCGATGCGCTGCATTTTTTCAGAATTTTTTCAGCATTTTAGAAAATGATTTTCGCATCGGAGCACCGGGAGCACCCTAGGCCTGGAAGCACTAGATACTTTCCCCCATGCTCGAGCTGACATCAAAAGCCCGAGTGGATAGAACTCTACGTTTCACGAGTCTCCTAAAAAAATGTATTTTTTTTAAAATGAAGGAGGATCCCGGTCTTTGCATCTAAACGATGCATGCAGCCACTTCATTTATTATTCACACAAAACCTTATAAAGTCATACAACAGTAAGACTAAAGCCACGTCTAGACAACATCTGCCGCTACTCTTATCCAGTTGATGTATGGATGCTGATAGTCTGGGTCCAATACCAAACAGACCCCGCAGCCAAACCTAACATCTAAGACCTGATGTCCTAACCAGGACGCCTGCTGGATATGGGGCACCCACCAGTCCGGCGCACTCCTCAACCAGGACGCCGCAGCCACCTGCCACCAATCCATCTTCAGAAATGTACTGCTGCATCTACCTTGCTCAGTCTAACTGCCGTCGATGCCACCACGACGCCAGACAACACCACCATCCCGCGCTCGTCCATCATCACACGCCCACCGGCGAGATACCGCTGCTCCATGCCGCCGAGACCCGCCGTCGTCGACGCGAGAGAAGGCACGCCACACCACCTCACGCCTCTTCCATCCGGCGCCACTCCACAAACGATGCCCCCAATAGGGAACACGGCACCACAACGCCGCCATCATCCGATCCGGAGATTTTAGGATTTCTCCCGGAGTGGCACGAGCAGGTTGATGATAGTTGCTTGACGATGCCTTCATCAAGGTAACGACGTAGACGCCGCCATCGCCTGCCATGACCGGAGTCGGCTTGGTTTTCACCGACTACTATGTCTCCTCAACTCGCTGCCAGTGCTAATAGTGGGATCCAAGATCCGTCGCTACTAGCTTGGCCAACCGCCTTCGGTGGAGAAGGCAGCCACCACCACCATGCCCTGGCAAAGAGACCCGGACGTCCTCGTGTCACGAAGATTACCCAGGGGGATCACCTGGCCAAGTCGTTCCATGCTCGAGCTGACACCAAAAGCCCGCAAATGGAACGCAGATTGATCAAGATCAATCAAGATGATGGCATGGAGTGAAGATCGATCGATCAAGATGTTGCCTAGACAGTGGCTTTAGTCTTACTGTTGTATGACTTTGTAAGGTTTTTTGTGAATAATGAATAAAGTGGCTGCATGTATTGTACAGATGCAGAGGCCGGGGGTCCTCCTCCATTAAAAAAACAATACATTTTTTTAGGAAACTCGTGAAACGTAGGGTTCTGCTGGGTATGGGGCACCCACCAGTCCGGGGCACTCCTCAACCAAGACGCCGCAGCCACCTGCCACCAATCCATCTTCAGAAATGTACTGCTGCATCTACCTTGCTCAGTCCAACTGCCGTCGACGCCACCACGACGCCAGACAACACCACCATCCCGCGCTCGTCCATCATCACACGCCCACCGGCGAGATACCGCTGCTCCATGCCGCCGAGACCCGCCGTCGTCGACGCGAGAGAAGGCACGCCACACCACCTCACGCCTCTTCCATCCGGCGCCACTCCACAAACGATGCCCCCAATAGGGAACACGGCACCACAACGCCGCCATCATCCGATCCGGAGATTTTAGGATTTCTCCCGGAGTGGCACGAGCAGGTTGACGATAGTTGCTTGATGATGCCTTCATCAAGGTAACAACGTAGACGCCGCCATCGCCCGTCATGACCGGAGTTGGCTTGGTTTTCACCGGATACTATGTCTCCCCAACTCGCCGCCAGTGCTAATAGTGGGATCCAAGATCCGTCCCTACCAGCTTGGGCAACCGCCTTCGATGGAGAAGGCAGCCACCACCACCATGCCCGGGCCAAGAGACCCGGACGTCCTCGTGTCGCGAAGATTACCCAGGGGGATCACCAGGCCAAGTCGTTCCATGCTCGAGCTGACACCAAAAGCCCGAGTGGGTAGAACCCTACGTTTCACGAGTTTCCTAAAAAAATGTATTGTTTTTTTAATGGAGGAGGACCCCCGGCCTCTGCATCTGTACAATGCATGCAGCCACTTCATTCATT